ATATTAAATTTTCAACATTAACTACATTAAACTTACTTTTTCATTTAAATTGATTAAAATCTCAAGATTATTATTATTATTTTTCATCTGATAAATGTGGTTTTTAAAAAATTTGTTTCGCTGATTATAATCACAATTTTTCGAAACTTGAGATTGTGGCATATAGTCGATTACTGGCAAGAGAAAATTTTGTCTTAGATAATGAACAATGACAGGAATTAAAACAATGATTCTTCATATTCGGAAAAGACGTCTGTTAGAAAAAATAGGTTATTAGATGAATAAGGATATATGAGAAATGCTGATCAAAAAAAAACTTTATTTTATTAAAGAATTAGAATAGATCAAAGGTACTAGGTAATATTGATAAAGATTTATCTTTATACGTTTTAAAATGGTCTTTCAAATATAGAAATATTGATTGAAAATATAAAAAGCAGAAAAACAGATCGAAAACCTTGAATATGCTCTGCGAAGTATAAGTAAGCTAATTGTTGTACTTTATTATAATTAATCAGTGTTGTAATTGAAGAGAATGATTAAATCCTATAATATAAAGAATTTGGGGTGAATTTGGTATTGTAACATGTCTACAAACAATTAGGTCTAAATAAATTTGGTGACTGGAAGGGTTCTGCTATTATGTAAACCGACATGTGCTGCTAGTCGGATCTTATCGTTTCTGAGGTCGCGATTTTAATCGAAGTCTTGTAAGTCCTGATAAAGGAATAATACTTTCTGAAAACTTGACCTGATAAAGTACGATTCTGATTAAAATAGATATAATTTTTTCATATTACCTGTTTGTCGTGATGAAAATGACATAACGTTAGAATAATCCGAACAGATTAAAAACAGGTACTTTAGTAATTACGAAAAAAGAAAAGGATTATTGATATTATAAGATTATCAGTGACGTTCATTGCCTTATGTGTCAATGCCTTGTTTTATATTTGACATATTGACATCTCTATGTGATTAAAAATGAATGTTATTAAGAATGAGAAAAGTCTCAACACTTTTTTATTTTATTCATTTTGTTTATATAACCAATAATGTCTTCTTCTAACAACAATTCTGATGATAGTAGTACCACTACTTTCGACAGTTCCGAAGTATCTATTCCACGTTCAGTTCGTTTTTGGATTATGCTATTGTTCGATGTTCCATCAATAATTTGTAGTTTCCTTATTATAATTCATATTATTATGAATCGAGTTCATCGATATGCATTACATAATCATAGTATTCTTCTTATAATACTCTTTGGTTTACCACTTCAAATAATGGATATTGGTTTTTATCTTATATTCTTTCATTATGGTTCTGTTACACCATCGCAACCGATTGTATGTCTTTTATGGTGGGTGGCTGATTATGGTTTTTATATTGGAATTATCATTCTTATGGCTTGGTTAGCCATCGAACGACATATTCTAATATTTCATGATCGATGGGTTTCAAATCAAAGAGGACGATTTCTTTTCCATTATCTTCCATTGATTATGTTAGTGACATATATATTTATCTTCTATACAATTGCTATTTTCTTTGTACCTTGTGAGAATACTTACAGTTATGATATACCAGTATGTGGAGCGACACCATGTTATCAATCTTATGGCATTCTTGGCATGTGGGATTTTATTGTGAATACTATTATACCAATCCTCTTGGAAGGCATTGCTAGTATTAGTCTTATTTTACGTGTCCAATGTCACAGACGGCGTCTTCGCCAATCTAATAAATGGCGTAAACAAAGACGAATGATTATTCAATTGTTTATGGTTTCGAGTCTAAATATTGGTATATCTCTACCAATCTTTTTAATACCTCTTGCACATTTATGTGGTCTCCCACCACAATACGGTGTTGAAGCTGAACTTTATTTCTATTTCTTTGGTTACTTCATTGTTTTTCTTTTCCCATTCGCATCTTTATCTCAATATTCGGACTTACGTAGAAAAATTAAAAATAAAATAGTTAATAGAGCAGCAAGGCAACCACGTCGCACAGCTACTGTTGGACCTACAATGAGAGATATACCAATGATTAGACAATTTTAGAAAAGATATTATGCTGAAAAGTATGTGGATGGATGTAGATTCTTCGTTTTTGTATTGTATCCTTTGAAGGATTATGTTTAGTTGTCTTGTGGAAACACATGAATATCTTATGAATATTGTTTGTGTTATACAACTATTTTAAAATAAAATTGAACATAATTAATTAAAATTGCATATAAAGCTGAATGATAAGTAGCTTTCCTTGTTTACTTTCATACTTTTTAAGTAGGGATGTCACTTTATTCTTTATTATAACAAAAGATAAAAATAAAGTAATACTCGTACTCTTAAGCTTTTATAGTTTTCAAAATAAATTTAAACTAAATGATGAAACAATCAAAAGGGAAATGAATTTTTTCCAATAAAGCAGGGTGTGGGTAAATATTCTATATTCATCTAATATCTTCACCCACACTCTCAAGTATAGAATCAGATGAATTACATCAGTTGTTGTGAAATACAAGTCGAAAGGAATGTTCAGGTATGGAGGATCGAATAATTCAAGAAAATATTAGAAACTATCGAATTCAGTTGAATACATGACAGTTTCCGCAGATGTAGACGGTATTTCCTTGTAGTTTTTATAGTATTCCACACCGGGTTGTGGTATGAATGGTGCTTGAAGACGTTTTTCACGAATGGCAATCCAATCGATTGATGCGAACCAGTTATGGTTTTTAATATCTTTTGTGCCATCTTTTAAACAACCATAACGTTTTGTTGGATGAACTTCAAGAAGTTTAGATACGAGATCCGTTAGATCAAATGAGAAGTGGTCCGGAATTTCGAATTTTCCTATAAGTGTTTTCTTATAATTTTCTATTGGATCATCTGCTGCAAACGGTGTTGAACCCTTGTGAAAAATATTAAAATTAAATTAATTACATGTGATTCCTAACTTACTGTTGTCATTTCATATATTAAAATACCCAATGCCCAATAGTCAACACTTTTATTATGACCTCTTCCAACAATAATCTCAGGTGCCATATACTAAAAGATGAACGATATTCACAAAACAGATGAGTATTAAAAAGATTACTTCAGGAGTTCCACATAGTGTGAATGTTTGATCTTCTGTAACTTTGGCAAATCCAAAATCAGTTAATTTCAAATAGCCATCAGCTGCAAATAAAATATCTTCAGGTTTGATATTCCTAAAGATGATATCTACAACCAAAAAAAAACACATAGAGAAATAACAATTGATGTCATAAGTCTTGTTGACTCACTTAAATAATGTAAATATTCCAGAGCAAGTACAATCTGAGCAGCATAAAATTGCGCTTGATCTTCAGGATATTTGACTACTTTTCTACGAATAATTCTGACAATTTTAATAAAACAAAATCAATTGACTAACCGAAGATTAGCGAACATTTCACCACCACTGACATATTCGAGTGCTAAATAAACATGTGCATTATCTTTAAATGCATATATCAAATGAACGATAAATGGACAATTGATTGCTTGAAGAATACGTTTTTCGCATAGAATATGTTTGACTACATTCATTTCAACGATCGATTGTTTTTTCAGTATTTTTAAAGCCAATAAATGATTATCATGTTTAACAAGCATTACACGAGCGAATGAACCTGTACCGATAGTTCTTTGCAATTGAAAATCTTCTATTTTAGCAGTTTCACTGAATGATTGAGCATATTTAGTTTCAAACTCGAGTTTTGCACGTTCAAGATATGCATCAGTATGAGTGTTGATTTGATTGATGATATTAGCAGTAAGAGGAGTATCTTGATGATTGTGATCTTCATTCGATTCTATTACATTTGATGTTGGTTGTACCAAAGGTGATGTAGAACAGTTTCCCATTTATATCAATCACTATAAATACAGTTACTTGGGATTTCCTATCTATTATGAAATTTTGCGTGTTTCTAATATGCATGATATTTGTAGAAAGTAAGATAATCTATGAAAAATATATACGATTACCTATTCTCGTTCTTGTATGATTCGGCAGTGACGAAAGTTTTCCTTAGAAACTTATATATCAAGTAGAGGATATTACAGGAAGTAAACTAAAAACATTCATGTTTGTTGACAGTTAAGTAACGAGACAACCACCATCACATTGTTCTTTTTCTTTCGCCTACAGTTCAAAAAAAACCGATTACTAACGTCGTTGTGTTATAGTCACTCATTTTTTTTGTTCTGTTCATTTTATTTCCATTTTACTGTTAGTAGTTGTTTTTCTCATATTTTTTAACTTACACGTCACGATCATTGTTAGAACATGCAATATTCTCATAAGAACAATTAAGATGGTAGTAGGCAATCTTGAAGGTGTGGGTGAGGCTATGGATAAAAGAAAAACGTGATGCTCACCCACCATCAGTTGTTTAAAAATGTGTAATTTGTTTTTATTTCAATGATACATATACTATATTTTAAAAATAGAGAAAAGCTCTAATAATTTTTAAGAACTGTTGGTTTTCTCTCAAAATATTCAATATAGATGGATGGATGAGGGTTAAAGAATTTTAGTTATCTCTCATCTGCACTCACACCCTCGAGGTATTTTTTGAGTGTGGGTGACCATAAAGCAGATGCATCCACACCCTCAAGATTAAAACATAAAGAAGAAAAAGAACGATATGAAAGTGAAAGTTTAATTAAATGATGTACAATAAAATAAAGAAGAAGAAATATATATATTCAGATATAGAGCCACTTTGTCTAGGCCCATTAGAACTTCACATCATGCAATGATGGTGCAAACGTGATGGAACCAGTTATAGATAATGAAAAAAGGGCTGGGTGTGGGTATAGATAAATAATAAACCCCAGCACCCACAACCATACTCTCAAGATGCTTTTGGCAAAAACAAGTGGTACACTTAGTTTTTGACATTGAATTGAGAGTGCGAGGGTTTATTATTCATTCACATCTACACCCACACCCTCAACAATTGTGCTTCAGTCATTTGTTTTCTGTATGTGGCATATTGAATTGTGAAAGGATTCAGTTGTTTTATCTAGCTAATTACTCATTTT